TATTATTTTATTTTATTTTATCATATATAAATTTTATTTTAATAAAATAATTATATTTTAAATAATTAAAATTTTTATTATTTAAAATTAATTAAATAAGAATTAGTTTATTAAATATTTTTTTATAAATTATATTATATATTTGATATTTTTAAATAATAACTTAAAAAATTTATATATATATATATACTTAAATATTTAAATACAATATAATAATAATAATATTATTATTATTATAATTATTTATATTAATATAAAAAATAATTAAATATTTTTTAAAATATATATTTTAATATAAATATAATAAATTAAAATATATATTTAATTAATAATAATTACAATTTATAAAATTATAAATATTTATTTATATAAATAACATAAAATGAATAAAATTAATTTATTATAAATTTATTTTTTTAAATAATATAAATTAAAAATAAAAATAAAAACTTAATTTTTAACTTCAAACAAAAATAAAAAATAATTAAAAAGTCAGATATGATCGACGAGACAAAAACTGTCCCATCCCCACCCGTTCTTATAAGTCCATCATACACTGTTGAATTCATGCCTCACATCCACATATCAAGCATCTCTCTTCATTCTGCTCCAACAAATCTTGCATATACAAACATGTAGACCTATTAGTGGGTCTCCCTTGTTAAATAATGCATATTAATATATTCTTTAAAATTTCCTTAAATATAATTAATATCCAACTATTTTATTATCTACTAAATTAGTATAATTATAGTAAATTATAATTTCTATTAACTTAAAGAGAAAATTATTGCATGCATGAATGTACCTAAAAATTAATTTAGTACATCTTGTTAAAAGATTCAACGTATGTAGAAAAACATATATTTTGAATAAAACGTGAGTATGAATGGTTTGTATCCATCCCTGACCAATCATATTCTATAAGGAAAGTTGTGTAACAGCCATTAAAATAAATTCCACACATGGTCATACTTGTCCAACACCAATGAAGCAGAAGATTTCAATTTATTGAAAAAAAATTTGAATATGAAATTTTACCTGAATAGTGATATCAATCTACAAACATAGGAGAAAAATATTTATTAAATTATATTATATACATAAACTCAAATTTTACAACGTATTTTTTTTTCAAAAGATATAATATATTTGATTAGTTTCCAATTTGATATTATTTATTGAAATTGAAAAGTAAATATTTTCACATCTAATTTCTAATTAGATAATCATTAATTGAGCAAAAATAGAAGAGTAATAATTTCTAAAAAACTAAAGTAAAATAGAGAAATATTTGCATGAAGTGAAAATATATTTGATTTTTGTTTTAGAAAAATTTAAAATAAGAAGTGACCACGTGAGAGCAGCCACTAATTAATAATGATTTCCAGTTGTGAGAACAATAAGCCATCTATGTACGAAACCCATTCCGAAAGGGACTTTATGTCATTTTATTATTTACACGTCGGAACTAATCAATCCATATTCATAAATCAAATTCATAATAATATATTATTTTTGGTAATTTTAAATAATCTGCCTAGAATTAACATTTTTTAGTGCTTGATTCTATGAATCATTGTGTAAAAATAATTTTGAGAATTAATTAGTATAACACACTCATCAAACGGACCAAGGACCCTACTTTATATCATACGTTCCACTTCAGGATCCCCACACCACATGCTTCATCGATAAAGATTTGCATGAAAATTTGACTTTTATTAAACTCACAAAATATTAGCCACGTCACTTAAACACGTCAGAACTACGTGTTGTGCTGTTGGTTATAGATGTAGGTAATTGTAATTATAACACTAATCTCACTTTCTGTCTCGTCTAGATAAGAATAACATAAAAAGAAGGAAGCAAATTTGCCTACTAATTCTGAAAAATTCAAGAATAAAACCTCTACGCATACTTCATTTTTTTTTTTTAAAATAAAACTTTCTGGGCAAAGCCTTTGTCTGGGACAGTTTTTTTGTTTCTCTCCAAGATGGTAGGAGAACACACTGTGTTACATGTTTCCGATGACCACAAGACACCTCTTCTCTCCGTTCACGAGCCAGTAGAGGGAGCACAGAGAAGCGTCTCCTTCACCTTCAGGTCATTTCTAACTCTGCAAAACTTGTATGTCATTCTGGGACCTTTGTTGTCCCTTTTCATATGCCTCTTCGTGAAGCTCGACGCTCCAGCCACGAGCCAGAAAATGCTTGGTGTGATTGCTTGGGTGTTCACTTGGTGGGTCACTCAAGCCGTGCCACTTCCGGTGACCTCCATGTGTCCTTTGTTTCTCTTCCCCATCTTCGGGATTGCCTCAGCTGACAGCGTCGCCCACTCCTACATGGATGATGTCATCACCCTCGTCTTGGGAAGCTTCATTCTCGCTCTCGCCGTCGAACGCTACAACGTTCATCGGAGATTGGCCTTGAATGTGAGTCACTCCTTTTGCCTTCACTTTCCTCATTTTCTTTTGCAGTTTTTTTATCATCACCATTGAGTTTTCATTACTTTGAGCGATCCAGAGTTTCGTGTCTCCCTCTTTTTCTCTCTGCCTTTTTATTCATTTAATTTAATATTAATAATATACTTTATTTTCCATGAATTATTTCACTGTTAAACCAGAGTATATGCCATTTAATTAATACTTACTCGGACTTTTTCTGGTATTCGAAGAAAAATTCTGTGTTTTACAATTATTTTGGGGCAGGCGGTTTCATCGCCACATATACTCAATTATTTACTTTTGGAAATAATTGAAACTTTGATTTTTTTCTCTCTAACCAAGAGGAAGACAACTTTGTATTGAATTTTTCTACTTTTTTCGTGTAAATATTTATAATTAGAATTAATATCAAGCACACAAAAATTAAGTTTTCATTTATTGTTTTTTTTTTAATTATTAATATGGAGAAGGATTTATAAGAAGATGAACAAGAGAATATGGAATTAATGTTTTTCTATTTTTGTCTGGTTGAAGAGTGTGGGAAACGAGGCAATGCATCCTCTATTTTTATTTTTTATTTTTTGAAAAATAAGAAAAAACAGTGCCGTAGGAAGTGTAATATGATTTGTGAACGTGGCGTGGGGCCTACAGGTAACGTTGCTGTTTTGTGGGGATCCGGTGAATCCAGCGTTGTTACTGTTGGGGCTATGTGCGACGATATTCTTCGTGAGCATGTGGCTGCACAACGTGGCGACTGCGGTGATGATGATGCCGGTGGCGACGGGGATAGTGCAGCGGATGCCGCCGGTGCACGAGCAGTCAGAGGCGGTGAACAAGTTCTGCCGAGCGGTGATTCTGACAGTGGTGTATGCGACGCCGATAGGAGGAATAAGTACTCTAACGGGGACGGGTGTGAATTTGATAATAATCGGAATGTGGAAGAGCCTCTTCCCGGATGCAAAGCCAATAAGCTTCAACACGTGGTTCTTCTATGGGTTCCCTGTGGCTATTCTCATCCTCATTTGTTTTTGGTGCCTAATCTGCATCCTCTACGTGCCCAAAGGATCGGGTCGGGCTTTGTCTTGTTATTTGGATAGATCTCACTTGAAAAGGGACCTTGAAGCTCTTGGTAAGTTTCTGACTTCAACCCTATACTATTTTGGTTTACTTTACTTACCAGATGCAAATAGAAATTGAACAGGGAGGCGCAGAAAAAGCCTTCCCAAGCTTCTGCCTTGTCATTTGCTTTGTCGTTTACCTTCTGTCTACTTGCATTTGCATCTTAATTATACCTGCGTTCTGTTTTTCTACCCTAGTTTCTGACTTGCATTCACAAGTTTGTGCTTATCTGGCACGTAGGACACCTGTCACCTCTATCTACAGTAAAAAAAGAAAAAAAAATATAACTGTTGTAATTAATTAATTAATTAATTATATATTTATTTTAATAATAGAAATATGATTTACTATTATCATTTTATGAGATGGAGAGGACACAATTTTCCACCACAGAATGAAAAATGAAAAGGAAGGGCGTTAGTTCGGGAATGTGGGGCAACTTAACATAAACTTTTATTAGAAATGGATAAATATTTAATTTAATCTTATAAAATTTGATTGTAAGGTGATTGCGATTTCTACTTTACTTATATATCATGATTTCTACATTAAAATTATGATATTTACATTATAACCCAGAAAAATCTTTAATGTGTATATTTTTATCTTTATATGTTTGAGAACTTAATAGCTCTATTTTATTTATCTTTTCTTTTGTATGAATTGATTAATGAAGTTTTTTAATACAAATTATTAAAAATAGGCTGAAAGTGAAAAAAACAAAAGATACGGACACACTAAAAACAAGTACAATTTAAAACATTTGTGTTTTTTTCCTACTTCAATATATTTACGTCGAAGAGGAGTGGTCTTCGTGTGATGGCCTTGCTTGAAGCCGGTGAGAAAGATTCTAATGTACATGTTTGGAATGACGCATCCCATCGAAATTGCTCATTGCATGTTAACACTGCACATTATCGACGCGTCTCACATGTCCTTTATATAGTTTTGTTGATTAATAAATTATACAGTCTAGATAAAAAAACAAAGATACTTTTGACATGTCGTCCAAAAAGTTAAGGCTATTAATTGCAATATTTATTTATGTTTGCAGGTCCCATGGCTTTTGCTGAGAAGATGGTGTTGTCTGTGTTTGGGGTATGTAAGCCTAAGTATACGTTTTAAATTATTATTATATTTAATCACGGAAGAGCTTGATGTGTTTTCAACTGGGGCATTAATTAACGTTAAATGGTAAATGCAGTTGCTGATCGTATTATGGATGACAAGAAGAATTACAGATAACATTCCTGGATGGGGATCTTTATTCCATGGCCTTGTTGGAGATGGAAGTGTCAGTGTAAGTGTTTTGTTAACTTTATAGAGTCTTTTTCAGTTTACATGACTCATTACACCAAAAATTGTGGTCAACAACTAATGAAACAGAACCAAAATGTAGGTTATGGTGGCTGTTTTATTGTTTATAATCCCAAACATGAAGCAACAGGGGGAGAAGCTAATGAGCTGGAATGACTGCAAAAGGTTACCTTGGAACCTGATTTTGCTTCTAGGAGCTGGTTTTGCGATAGCTGATGGAGTACAATCCAGTGGCTTAGCGGATGTGCTATCAAGAGCCTTGGATTTCTTAGAGGATGCCCCATACTTGGCCATTGTTCCTGCTGTTAGTCTAATATGTAGCATTATTACAGAGTTCATCACCTCCAACGATGCTACTGCCACCCTTCTTGTACCACTTCTCTATCACATAGCCAGAACAATGCATGTGCACCCGCTTCTTCTTATGGTACCTGGAGGAATAGCAACCGAGTTTGCTTTCTGGCTTCCAACTTCAACACCATCAAATGTAGTTGGCTTTGCCACTGGACACATAGAAATTAAAGACATGCTCAAAGTTGGTGTGCCACTCAAGGTTGCTGGTATTGTTGTGCTATCTCTTCTCATGCCATCACTAGGTGAGTTTCCTACCATATATCTGTTCTGGTAGACAAATGCCTTGAGAAAATCATTTGGTTGAAAAAGGATTCTGACGTCCAAGTTTTGTTGTTGCAGGGACATTTGTTTTTGGAACAAATACTGGTTCTTAATTAGTGAATTTATAGAAGCAAAGCACTTGTTGGATAGGAAATTGGTTTCTTCTCCAAATTTCATTTTGGTTGGGTCTGTAATCATTTGCAAAAAATGTTGTATGAGATGAACGAAATTTGTGCAGGGCCTTATGATGTTATATTTAGGCAATGAGGATACCCTGGGGAGGGATATCATCAGGGCAAAGGAGATGAGGGAGAAAGATCTCCATCTCTTTCGTTCTTGCTTTTATTTTGTATTTGTTTGTTAATTGTTTATAATTTTTTACCGGGTTATAGTATATGAATGTAAGGATATATAGGGTGAGATTCCAGCTATTGTAAAACTTGATATACCAGTGCCAGAAGGGAATTCATTTATTTTGTGTCAAATGCATTTCGATGATTCGAAGGTGTTGGAGTTGGCTTGGTAATTTTGCAATGCACCTTAGTTGATTAGGGGCAGCCATGCTTCTTTACATTTTAATGCTTAAATATATTTCTTTTTAACCTTCCAAATTTTGTTTTCCACATTGTAATACTTATTTAATAATGATTTTGAGAAAGCTAAAAACATGATAATCCGAAGTCAATAGTTTCAAACGTTCCAAGATAAACATCAACTCTCGCCGCTGAAGATGTGTTTGTCATAGTTTTATAGAGGTAAAATAGTTAATTATCAATTTCTTAGTTTTTTATTTTTACCAATTTTATTCATTCATGTAGTTAGTGAAAAATATTCAACTATGTTATCACTTAACCTTGTTTTTCTAACTTTTTCATCACTATAAATTATGTTGTTTTTGATATAAGATTACTTTGTCAATCAAGGATAAAATATTTGATTCCTCAGTCTCAATTATTTTTTTGACTTAAATCATTAAATACTGGACAAACTTTTGAAAGTTTACATTTTTTGACACATCAAATTTAGGAATGTTATGATTTATTCTTTAACCAAGTCTTCTCTAGGAAAAAATAAATGGGAAATTCTTAACATGATTACAAAATTATGATTTATATCTCTAATATCTAATGTTGAGTTCAAATAAGAAGCTCAATAACAATAGCTCAAATCTACAATTAAATTATTTCAACGAATAATTTATACTCAACCGCAATATTTGTATATAATTTACTTTATTAATCACTAGCATATTTCCAGATAATTATTCTGTCTATTTATAGCTTATATATAATTTTGATATATCATCTCTTATTACTAACATCATGATTACAAAATATTGTTATAAAATCCTAAAAAATCATGACATAAATATTTCATAATAAAAAAATGGTAGAAAACATGTACCCATAATAAAAAAGTTAATTCCAATAAGATAAACCGAAAATGTAAGAAAAAATCCAGTTTTTTACATCTATTCTCTTTTATCATTTAAATAATAATAATAATGATAATTTAAATTTTTATATTATTTATTATTATATTGTTAAAATGGGTTGAGTAATGGATGTTTGGTAGGAATTGTCCATATATGTATCACTCTTGGAAGTGTAAACGCACCCACATGTGCATGAATTGTTCACGTTGACCTGAGAACTCTACAAAACAATTAATAAAAGGAAAAGTAAAATGATATTTAAGAACCCAAAACTCCTCTAAACAACTCTGTTTTAATATTATAATAATAGTTTTATTTTATTTTTATTTATATTAAACCAGTCTATAGATTATTATATTAATAAAAGTGAGTTGTTTATAAGGGTTGTATGGTTTTTGGTTATCAAAATATCATCACTCAAAGGAAAAAGATATTTTGACACCACTATTCACATAAACCACATTTCACGTAAACAACCCGGTAAACAACTCTATTTTATATTGAGTAGTGATATTTTGACAACCACAAACCATACATCTCTTTAAACAACTCACTTTTATTAATATAATAATCTATAAACTGATTTAAAAAAAATAAAAATAAAATAAAACTATTATTATAATATTAAAACAGAATTGTTTATAAGAGTTGTATAAATTTGGGTTGTCAAAATATCATTTTCCTTTTATATTATAATAATAATTTTAACTATTTTTTATTTTTATTTAAACTTTTTCATGATTATTATATTAATAAAATGGATTATTTTTTGAGTTGTTTTTTTTAGGTTCTCAAAAGATCATCACCCATTAACAAAACATCAACGTGAATCCAACAAAAAAAAATAAGAGTAGTGAAAAATCATATCATGCTTTAAATAACTTACTTTTAATGATGAAATAAAAATAAAAATAAAATAAAACTATTATTATAATATTAAAAGAGAATTGTTTTGGGTTGTAAAATAATTTTTTTTTTAATAAATAGCCACGCCAAAGGCACCAAAACTGGAATAATGCATTGGTAACAGTAACATAGCTATGACATTAATCTCATTTCATCCAAACACCTTCCCGGCAAACCCATTTTCTGCGACAGTTTTTGCTTCTCTCCAAGATGATCGGAGAACAAGTTTCTTTACCTGCTTCTGATGATCACAAAGCCCCACTTCTTCCAGTTCAGGAGGCTGTTGAAGGAACACACAACAGTGTCTTCTTCATCATGAAATCAATTCTGACACTACAAAACTTTTATGTCATTTTGGGACCTTCGTTGGCCCTTTTCATATGCCTCTTCCTGAAGCTCGAAGCTCCCACGAGCCAGAAAATGCTTGGTGTGATTGCTTGGGTGTTCACTTGGTGGATAACCCAGGCCGTGCCACTTCCGGTGACCTCCATGTGTCCTTTGTTTCTCTTCCCCATCTTCGGGATTGCTTCAGCTGACAGCGTGGCGCACTCCTACATGAACGACGTCGTCACGCTCGTTTTGGGAAGCTTCATTCTCGCTCTCGCCGTAGAACGATACGACGTTCACCGGAGACTGGCCTTGAATGTTAGTCACTCACTCCTTTTGTCTTTTACTTCAGTTTCATGCACAGTATATACTTGTGAACAACAAGATGTAGGCCCTACAGGTAACGTTGCTGTTTTGTACCGATCCGGTGAATCCGGCGCTGTTATTGCTGGGGCTATGTGCGACGATATTCATGGTGAGCATGTGGCTGCTGAACGTGCCGACGGCGGTGGTGATGATGTCGGTGGCGACGGGGATCTTGCAGCGGCTGCCGCCGGTGCAGGAGCATTCGGAGGAGATGAAGAAGTTCTGCAAGGCGGTGATTCTGACGGTGGTGTATGCGACGCCAATTGGAGGGATAAGCACTCTGACGGGGACGGGTGTGAACTTGATAATTATTGGGATGTGGAAGAGCCTCTTCCCTGAGGGAAAGCCAATAAGCTTCAACACGTGGTTCTTCTTCGGTTTCCCCGTCGCTCTTCTCATTCTCATTTGTTTCTGGTGCATCATCTGCCTCCTCTTTGTGCCCAAAGGCACTGCTCGCGCTTTGTCTTCTTACTTGGGTAAAGCTCACCTGAGAAGAGACCTCGAAGCTCTTGGTAAGTTCTCCCTTCAACCCTACACTGCACAAAAAAAGAAAAACTTCTCTTGCTTTCATCCTTTCTGTTTCTTTGTCCTACTCTCTTTTTTTGTGCAACTTCCATTTACATCCAATTAGACCAGTTCTTGCGCTGCTCTGCTTTGAAATATTTTTGCCTATCTAGTGCGTAAATTCAATTGTCCTCGATGTCAATGCATGCATTTACTCTTACATTACTTTTAATTCTTTTATGTTGTTCGTAGGTCCAATGGAATTTGCTGAGAAAATGGTGTTGTCTATATTTGGGGTATATGTGGCTAAATATACCTCCTAAACTTTCATATCTAAATGATGGAGGAACTTATTGTGTTTTCAAATAAACAATTACCACATTAATTAAAACACAACGGTGAATGCAGTTGCTTTTCATACTATGGATGACAAGAAGAATCACTGATGACATTCCTGGATGGGGAGTTATATTCCACGGCCTTGTTGGAGATGGAAGTGTCAGTGTAAGTATTGTGTCTTCTTTAGAGTTGTTAGTTCATATATGACTCATCACACCAAAATTTGGGTTCCTCGAATGAAACAGAATAAAGCCTTCTATATACAATGTAGGTTATGGTGGCTGTTTTATTGTTCATAATCCCAAATATGAAGGGAGAGGGGGAGAAGCTAATGAGCTGGGATGAATGTAAAAAGCTACCTTGGAATCTGATTTTGCTTTTAGGAGCTGGTTTTGCCATAGCTGATGGAGTAGAATCTAGTGGCTTAGCAGATGTGTTGTCAAGGATCATGAATTGCGTGCAAGATACTCCATACATGGTCGTTGTTCCTTCTGTTTGTCTAATATGTAGCATTGTTACTGAGTTCATTACCTCTAATGCCGCTACTGCCACTCTTCTTGTCCCACTTCTTTATCATATAGCCATAACTATATGCATGTGCATCCACTTATTCTTATGGTACCTGGAGGAATAGCAACCGAGTTTGCTTTCTGGCTTCCAACTTCAACGCCATCAAATGCACTTGGAATTGGTAGCGGACACATAGAAATTAAAGACATGCTCAAAGTTGGTGTGCCACTCAAGGTGGTTGGGATTGCTGTTTTATCCCTTCTCATGCCCTCACTAGGTGAGTTTCCTACAATCTATGTTCCGGTAGACAAATATGCTTTGAGGAAAGCTTTTGGTTGAAAAGGGATTTTGACATCAAGTTTTGTTGTTGTTGCAGGAACCATCGTTTTTGGAACAAATACCGATATCCAATAACTTACCAGGGAAAACTCTTTGCTTATTTGGAATTAATTTTTATATTTATTATATTTCCTATGTTTATATAAGTATACTTCTAATTAATTAATTATATATATATATTAAGGAGTATATATGAATTATTATTAATTTCAATTCTTACTGAGGGTACACTAGTATAAGGGTATTGAAATATAATCTTAGGACTAAAAATAAAACTAAAGCGAAATATTATCTTTGGACTCATAATAAGTATGAATATTTTGCCTAAAAAGGAACATGTTCTTATCTTATATTTATTATTATAACAGTATTAAAAACCATTTTCATATTTAAAATATGATCTATTTTATAATTTTAATTAGTATGATTTTATCTTTAAATAAAATCTTAATAATATATATATTATATATATTAAAATTATCTATAATTTCGGCTCTAACTTTACCAGCACCAGTGGTTGAAGCATAACTCGATCTCTTCTCCCAATTCTACTTTGTTTTATAAATTTTGGTTTGAGTCTATCATCATAAAACACTGTTTATCTAGGGAACGAACGAAATTTTACAAAAGTAAAGATGAAAGGAAAATGTTATTTTGACATTACTATTCTTATAAATATTCAATATACAATTCATTATAATATTGTAATAATAATTTTAAATTATTTCTATTTTTGTTAAAAAAAGATTATTATTATTATATTAATAAATGTGTGTTGTACGAGGAGATGTTTGGCTTCCCCAGTGTCAACGTATCACGCTCAAAGATGAAAAGTGGTAAAATGAAAAAAGTATTCTCTGCCAGGATAATATTTAACTGTCATTATTTTGTTCAGTTTTTTTTTGTTGATTTTGTTTTTTTTAGCATACATAATTCTTTTATGTTTATAGTGTTTGAAATACATAATAATATAATATAACATAAAAAATATAATATATTCAAAACATTGTGTACCTGGAATTGTTGAAGGATCCATAGAGCGTATATGAGAGAATATTATTCTCTTTACGATAGGTTCACATGAACGTAGTGTGTAAAAAAGTGGGTTTTGCTTGTCACACGTAAAAGCTGAGTAATGGGGTATCAATTTTTTCCACCTATCAGTGAGACCAGGGATCTCTCAATAAATAACTGATTCCGAATAATCCAACTCATCACGGATCGTTCATCGAAACCTAAATTAAATTTATTATTTATAAAAAAAATGATGATGTGTAATATAATTGATAATTATAAATAATTAATTTATTGATTAATGTTAATCCATAACAAATAGAGAATAATAATTTATATATATATATATATATATATATATATATAATAAATTATATAAATACAACATTCTCCCACTTGGATAACATTGATAAATAAATTAATCATATCAATTACTAAACAAACACAAATATCAATTAAGAAATATAAACATGAATCACAACGATAATATCAGATAGGGATGATTACCATATGCTTAGATTTCATAAATAATAGATAATAAATAAAATAAAACCAAACATAATAAATATGTGATCCCAAAATGGTTCATACATTTTATGTATCAAAGAGATGTAATAAAATGGCGTCATTGATAAATTTACATCTCGTAAAATCCATAATAATATATATTATGAATCTCAAACTCCCACTAACCCGAGTACATCAAAAGACTTAACCACACCCATATGAGTTACATGATTTTGAAAAACTCCAATAGCTAAGCCTTTAGTAAGTGGATCTGCTAACATATTTTCTGTAGCAGTATGTTCAATCCGAGTTTGAAAATCCAAAACTTTCTCTCTAACAAAAAGAAATTTTATATCAAAATGCTTTGAGCGAGTAGAACTTCTATTGTTTTGAGAAAAATGTACGGCAGCAGTGTTGTCACAATATATCACAAGTGGCTTGGAAATACTTTCAACAATTTGAAAGCCAGAAACCAATTTTTTAAGCCACACAGCTTGACAAGTAGCTTCATAACAAGCAACATATTTTGCCTCCATAGTAGAAGTAGCTGTAAGAGTTTGTTTAACACTCTTCCAAGAAATAGCTCCTTCTGCCAACTAAAATATAAAACCAGAAGTAGATTTTCGATCGTCAGGGCAACCAGCAAAATCAGAATCAGAATAACCAATGACTTGAAGTTGATCAGACTTCTTATAGGTCAACATGTAATCCTTAGTTCCCTGCAAATATCTAAAGACCTTTTTAACGGCTTTCCAATGACCCAAACCCGGGTCGCTCAAGTATATTCCTAAGCATTAACAACAAAAGCAATATCGGGACGAGTACAAACTTGAGCATACATTAAACTACCAACAGCGGAAGCATATGGAATTTTTTCCATTTCAATTCTATCATTATCATTTTTAGGACATTGAGATTTAGAGAGTTTATCACCTTTTTGAACAGGTGCTACACATGAGGAGCAAGAATGCATGTTAAACCGTTTAAGGACTTTATCAATATATCCTCTTTGAGACAATCCAAGAATGCCACGTGACCTGTCACGAAAAATTTGAATGCCCAGAACAACAGAGGCATCACCAAGGTCCTTCATATCAAAATGACTATTTAACATAGACTTTGTCTCAGCCAAAAGTTCAACATTGCTACTCGCAAGAAGAATATCATCAACATATAAGACAAGAATGATGAAATGACTCTCATTTTTCTTCAAGTAAATGCATTGATCCGAGGCGTTTTCCTTAAAGCCAAAAGAAGTGACCACCTGGTCAAATTTCAAATACCATTGTCTAGAAGCTTGTTTCAACCCATAAATAGACTTTTTTAACTTGCAAACCAAATGCTCATTGTTTTTATTAGCAAAACCATCAGGTTGAATCATATACACTTCCTCAAATAAATCTCCATTAAGAAAAGTTGTTTTGACATCCATTTGATGAAGCTCCAAATCAAAATGAGCTACTAAAGCCATAACCACACAAAAAGCATCCTTAGTAGATACGGGTGAGAAAGCCTCTTTATAATCAATGTCATCCCTCTGACTATAGCCTTTTGCTACAAGTCTGGTTTTATATCTCTCAACTTTTCCATCTGAATTACGCTTAGTCTTGAAGACCCATTTACACCCAACTGGTTTGCAACCGAGTGGCAAATCCACAAGATCCCAAACTCCATTATGGGCCATAGAAGCTAACTCATCATGCATAGCATTTAACCAATCAGAACCATGAGAACTAGAGATAGCCTCTTTAAAAGTAGTAGGATCATCAACATCATTAAGATCATATTCATGCTCTTGAAGATACACCTGATAATCATCAGGTATAGAAGACTTGCGTAATCTTTGAGATCTCCTTAAAGGAACCTCTTCAGTCACATCATCATGAACTTGTTCATCTACTACATGTGATGTAGCATCAACAAAATACGGAACCGAATCATTTTCATCACGGACAAGCTGGAATCACATTATCCGCATGAAAAAAATTGGATGGTACGGGAACAACAACACGATCTTCTCTAAGAGTGATCGGTTGTGGCGCACTGCTCCCACTTGTCCAAATCATCCTCAAAGAATATCGCACGGTCGGACTCAATAACTCGGATGGAGTGAGAAGGGCGATAAAATCTGCCACCACGAGAACCGATACAATAGCCAATGAAGAATCTACCAACGGTCTTAAGATCAAGTTTTTTCAACTGAGGATTATAAGGTCTCACCTCTCGCCTTACAACCCCACACATGAAAGTGTCTTAAACTTGGCTTCTTCCCGAGTCATAAGCTCATAAGGAGTCTTTGAAACGAGACTTGCTAGGTACTTGATTAAGAATATACACAGCGAGTCCTTAAAGCGTCTCCCCAAAGGAAATTCGGTAAAGAGGAATGATTCAACATACATCTCACCATATCTAGAAGAGTGTGATTCCTCCTTTCTGCAACACCATTTTGCTGATGAGTACCGGGCATAGTATACTGAGCTTCAATACCACATTCATTAAGAAATCTAGCGAAAGGTCCTGGATTTCTTCCAGTCTCATCATATCTGTCATAATACTCTCCACCTCTGTCAGACCTTACACATTTTATCTTCTTTCCAGTTTTCAACTCAATAGCAGCTTTGAAAGACTTAAAAGCATCCAAGGAACTTGACTTTTCTTGTAGGAGATCTATCCATCCAAATCTGGAATAATCATCTATAAACGTGATAAAATACCTGTATCCACCCATGGAAATGGGTGTCATAGGTCCATACATATCAATATGAATAAGTTACAACACATCATCACACCTGTTTGCACCTGCATTTCTTACTTTTGCAGTAAGCTTGCCCTTAATGCAATCAACACAAGTATCAAAATCAGAAAAATTCAGATAATGCAGAATACCCTCTTTAATCAACCTCTCAATCTGAGGTCTAGAAATATGCCCCAGACGTTTATGCCACAACATAGAGGAATTTTCATCAATTCTACTACGCTTATGTCCAACAATAGAATTAATAGACATGTCATTCAGATTTAACATGTAAAGCCCATCACATAAAACTCCTAAGCCTACAATAATTGAATTGAAATAAATAGCAAGTTTTCCATTGTCAAATTCAAAAGTGTAGCCACATTTATCCAAAGCTGAAACTGAAATTAAATTCCTTCGCATAGAAGGTACATAAACAACGTCTTTCAATAACAAAACATGTCCAGAAGGTAAATTTAAAGACACTACTCCTATGTCTTCAACTTGTGCTCTAGCTCCATCTCCCATGATAATCTTGGATTCAAGGTCACTTGGTTTTCTTAGGCTTGTGAACCCCTGTAAAGAATTCACAACATGAATAGTAGCACCCGAGTCAAACCACCAAGAATTGGGAGGAACATCAACAACATTGGATTCAAAACAAGCTAGAACATACATGTGCTTACCTTCCTTATCAGCATTCTTCTTCTTAAGAATATAACAGTCAGTTAGCTTATGCCCAAATTTCTTACAATAGGCACAATTCCCCTTAAAGTACTTCTTCTTAGGCTCCAAACCTACTGATGTTTTCCCTGTGTTC